CGCTCTCTGGGCTGGAAAGGAAGGACAAACTTCTGCAGAAAGTTCAGAAAGGCTTTTTTTAATTAACAAGATGAACACTGGCTAAGCTGCTGGATAAGTTCCTCAGCACCTCTCTCTGAGTGGAAATTAAGCCACTGCCCTCTGCATTGCAACATTCCTGAGCATTCTTTGCTCTCCAGAAAAATTCCTGGGTGCTGCCTCACAGCAAGCAGGAATAGGTTACGCTGCCAGGGCTTGGTGTTGAGCATCACCAACTGCTCTAACCACAGAACTAAGAGATTAGTGGAAAAGCCCCCATTTCTTGGCTGCAGTCTTTCAGGCTTGCAGAGAGGGGCTGTTTCTTCTGGATAAGGGCTTTTTTGACTTCTAGATCGGCCTTCTGGGCTGCCATGTGTCCAAGGGGGGTGAACTTCAAGACCTGACGTATATAACCCGTTTCCCCCTGCTGCTCCTGAGCTCCCTCCCAACTAGGGGCACAAGCCAGGAAGAAAATCCCAACTCCCTGGGCTTGTGTTCCCACCCCAGGGCTGAGCCCATAAAACAAGGGCCGTGGGAGCCAGACCCTGCTTCTAACAGCCCTTGAGGCTTCGCTCTTCTGCTGGCTGATGTTTGCAGCACTAATTTGCAGACACTCTCCAGCCCTTTGTTACGAACCTGGAAACACAAAGCAGGGGGTTAGGCAGGTCTGAAAGAGCAAAGCATAAAGGAGCACCAGGGGGTAGGACTTTAATAGCCCCGTGCTGGGCTCGGAGGGAACCAGGTGAGCCCGACAGGGGAAGTGGCTGAAGCAGAGAGTTCACTAACCCAGAGCATTCGCCTTGTGAGTCAGCGTCACTTCCAGCCTGTTGTTCTCTAGAAAACCAGAGTAACTTCAAGCTTTTCTCCTGCATCCTCTGCACTGTGCGCTGACATCATCATTTCCCCCGAGATACAAAAGTCATTTTGCTGTCACCCTCCACCTCCTCCCTTCTGCCACCTCACTCTCCACGCTACCCCAGGGGCATTTAGACGACCCCATGCTGTTCCACCTGCGCTGTTTGGAAGCAGAGGCTACTACAGCCACAGCCAATTTCCTCTGCACCTTCCCCTTCGGTTGCCCAGTATTTATTTTTCAATAACCAGTTTTGCCCAGTCTCATAGCACTTGCTCCAAAATGCATGGAAGAGCAGCCATTCTCTCATTTTTAAGGAGTACTTCAGCTAGGCCTGGGCTGTTTCAGAGCTCCAGAAGTTGAAAATATCTATTTTGCCATTTCTCACGTGAGTTTCCAAGCCTTTGGGCCAACCATTGCTACTTCAGATCATCAATCCATGGCTTGACTAAACAGTCTTAGTCCTTCTCTGTCCAAAACACGTCTTGGAAAGGAAAAACTCAGCATTTTTCCCTGCTACTTTATATCCCATTATACCATTAATGTTAGCCCTGATTTTCACTACCACTTTCAGCAAGAGAGTATGACTAGATTGCATGCAAGAGAGACACTGAGACATGGACGAGTGAAACACACGGCCAAGACACCACCTGCCTGGGGACAGGAGGGGATCGTACCTCTTACTGCTGTGGACTCAACTGAATCCCAGGCCTCCAGGGGCTGGAAAACTCCCCTCCTTGCTCGAGCACTTGTTGCTAGTGACAATTTACAACTTCAAAACACCAACCCACCACAATAAGGGAAACCCCAGCTCCACTCTCGCTGCAAAAGACATGGTGCAGCCTCCCTGGCTCACAATGTTTCTCTTGCAAAGTCTCCTCATCAGCAGATGCTGCTGATGACGGTGTCAGCTGATAGCAAACAGCAGTTGCAATAATTTCCTTTACAAGCAGGGACACAGCAGCACTGGGGCAAAGCTCCTCTGGCATAAACCCCTTGTGCCTGTATTAGCACAGGGCTACAGAGAAACACTTCTTTGTTATTTGTTTTAAAGTATGGGTGCTCTGTCAAAAAACAGATTGACCTGAAGTGTGCGAATCCATTCAGCAGTAACTCTCTTTTTCTGTACTTTTTGTTTTCATTCAATGCAAAATGTTGATTCTGCTCAGAACATTTTTTTTACTCTTTTCAGCTACAGGCAGAAGAGAAAGAATTGGATTTCTAGAGGAGGAGACAGGGCTTACTGAAAGGGATTCGAGCCAATAACCCAAGATGCAGGAGACCAAATCCCACAGGCAAATTCATGCTCGGTTAGATTTGTTCACAGGAGTAGCCGGAGACCCCAGTTCAAGCACAGTCTCTGCCTGACCTGGACTATCATTCCCCAACGCACGATGTACTCATGCGATGCAGGGTACAGAGGTGGGATTTCCTATTTCCCGTCACTGGGAATACCAGCTCCAGCAAACTACTGCCATTTACACCAGTTCATGTCTGCCCTACCTCTAGCTCTTGAGAGAAGACATCAAGGACACAAAACATGAAGACAGGAAATGGGTAAAAACTTTTTTTTTCCTTACAGCACAAATATTTCTGTCTTAATTTCTAAACAATCTCCCAGGGCATCTAGGTTATTTCTGCTTCCGTCAGTACCACTGCTCAGAAACATTCCAGGAACACCCGCTGACCTAACTGAAGTCTTAAAGACCTATCTTGGTTATTATCCGGAAATTGCGAAGATGAACAGGATGCAGCCCTCAGAAATCAGGTGATTACTGATGAGGGGAAACTAGTGAAGCACAATTATGGTAAATGAAAGCAAAACAAACCAAGAACAGCCATGAAATGGGTCCTAAAGCCTATTGTGGTTGTTTACTGTGTTCACCATGGCAGACTGATCAAGTGCTTTCTAAACTCAATACATCCATTTCTGAAGAATCTCTAATACTTACTTGCAGCTTCCAGGCAGGAGAACTTGATTTCAGTTCCAGAGCTTTCTACTGCTCAACTAGCAAGTGAATTCTCGCTTGTCTTGTTCAAGGTCAGAGGCCAGAACAGTGAATTATTAAAGCCTTAGCTTGCAATGCAAAGACCCCAGACTTAATTCTCCGAGTTTCCATAGCTTTACCATGCCATATAACCATCTGATGATTACATGACAAAAACAACATTTTTGGCACTGCAGCGGTTGAGTGGCCTCGTTTTCTAGGGCACTCTCATTGCTTCACTGACACAGCAAGAAATCATGTGGGTTAAGAACTACACTTCAGAAAGTTTGTGTTGGAGATAAACACAGTAGCGATTAGAAGCTGCTGAGATAGTTATCCATGTCACACATCTCAGTTATCCATGCATCTAAGAAAAGGAACATCAACATCAGAAGGCTGTGATAAACGGCAACAACAAATCTACTTATCTGGCAACTAGGAAGCCTACTGTCTTTCTTCACAAAATAGTCACAAAAGGGGAAGGAAAAAAAAAAAGTAAACCAGTATGTAAAATACCTAACATTACTGAGCAAAACCACAGAGTAGTTTTGCAAATACACAGCTCAGCAGTGATCATCTTTGCTACCATTCAAAATAAATTCAAGAGTTGTAAAACATGATGCAAAAGCCACCCCCCATGTAGCAGCTGCCCAGGAAATAGAAATGTTAGAGAACTGGAAGTACAGCAAAGTTTCAAACAGAGCTTCCCTTCCCATCAGTTAGTTAGAAGGCTCCCGGTAAACACTCTAAATGTCAGCCTTTTCTCCTTAATGGACATTTCCTAACAGTGTAGTGCTTCTCTTTCTCTTAAGCTACACAAGTGAATTTCAGATATATCGTTTTGTTTTCCCTTGGGTTTCGTCAGCTACACGTCACACTAGTGCAATGAAGTTTGAACTTCACTTTTTTTTTTTTTTTATTTTAAAGTGTTGCTGGTTATTTCCAAAACCCAAGAGGACCTTAAGCATGACAAGCATTAGCTCCTGAGCAGAGTCTCTGATCTGAAAATGCAATCTTTTGCCCCTTTAGAAAAAGAAGGGCAGATAGATCACTTCATATCCAGCAGAAACTCTTCAGCAGAAAACTTCCATATTCTTGCTGGGTGATCAGAGTTCTCATTAAAACCAAAACAAAATCCTCTCTTCTTTCTTTTCCATGTAATTCGTTACCCTATTTCTCTGAGTCATTGCTTAAGAAGTTGCTGTGAATTAGTATCTCATCCAAGTATTTCTTATCTAAGTGTTATGGCCCTCGATTATCACAGCATTTAGCATCATCCAGTCTTAAACGCTCTTTGCTCATGGTGATTTTACAAGGAAAGAAAATGCCCCGATCCCTCTTCATATGAAAAGTGCTTAGAGATATGAAGTGACTTGACCACGGGCAAGATGAAGCCAGTAGCAGAACAGCCAGCTTTGGTCTCCCGATTTGTAGGGTAAAACACTCACTGTTCAATCACTTTTGATTCACTACAGTAAAGCCAGGGAGCTACAGTGCACTGGGCACCATTTGTGCACACACAGGCTGAAATATTAGAAAGAGCTTGGTTCCCACTTCACAGGTCAAGGCGCACAGATTTAGAGCTCCTGGGAAATGCAGAAATATGTGGCAGAGCGAGGACCAAATATAGCCTTCCTCAGAACCCTTGCAATGAGCCTCAGTTCTCCTCAAACTGTTTGCTGTCGGTCCCATTTGCTGTGTGTCTGTCTGTAGAGCAATACCTGTGGGAAGGCTGATGTTACCAACAGTCAGTACAAAGGATTATCAGGACTTCACTTCTTCACCACGCTAGTCACATGGAAATCATATAGTAACTACTGATAAATACAGTGTATTACCTGCTGGTTCTGTTCTGAAGATGACCATATGTTGTAAATCATGAAGTCAACACAGGAATGGCCAGACACAAACACATACTCACATACTGACTGCTGGACTTAACTATGCAGACACACTTAAGTGCAGCTGAATTATTATTATTTTTTTTTAAAGCTTACTTCATCCTAAGGTAATAAGAGGGACAGGGTCAAGGCAACCACAGCATCTGAGTTCCCACCCAGGGTAATTTTCTTTTGCTAGATTCAGGCTGGTGAAAGTCAGGACAGAGAGCACGGGGGATGCAAACAGCCAGGGAAACTCACTGCTTTGAGGATTGCCACCGCGTCCTGCTGCAGCCACGTTGGGTAGACAACTTCGTCATTCAGGATGGCCTCAAAAAGGTCGTCCTCGTTCTCGGCCTCGAAGGGGGCATGGCCACACAACATCTCGTACAGCAGCACGCCCATGGCCCACCAGTCAACATCTGGGCCATAAAGCATTTCCTGCAGAATCTAGAGGAGGAAGAAGAAAGAACCATCACCCCTGAAACTTCTTAAACTGAGTGGGGGAAGAAAATGGATCTGGAAACATTGGTGCATAAGTTCTCTCTGATAACCTGACTGGACAGGCCAGAGCACATGCGTGATCCCCAGCTAGAAACCCCGGTCCATGCATGGGTACCTCAGGTTCATCAAACAAGGGTTGAACTAGCTCCACTGCTAACAGGGTCAGCTGGGAGGCAACCCCTTAAAAAGATGCCAGGGGGAGAAGGGGGATTTCAGCTAAACTGGTTGAGTGTCTGAAGCAGTAAAGCAGCCAGGTGTGCAGGCTGTCAACCCCTTTTCCTTGCCCGTGGAAGGAAATTCTTGCAGCTCCAAGAGCAACACTTTCAGCTGAAGAGGGAAAGAAGCATGAGTGTGGCACAAACAGCAACCACAGACAAAAATTCACCAGAGTGAAGATGGACCTAAAACCCTATCAGAACATCTGGCAGTGTCTAGAGGACAACTGTTCTTTAAAGAAGTGTTTATAAATTTTCCAATGAGGTTGATAAACGACAGAGAAAAATGAAGAGGTAAAGAAATAAATGAAATGGGAAAGGAGGGAGAAGTTGATCTATTTTCAGATCAAACTGGCCAGGACCTGTATGTGCCTCTCTCTCTGTAACCAGGTTTTTAGCAGCTGCAGCCCAGCACTTCAATCTTTCACCTTGGCTTCCTTTGAGAGAGACACTTGCTCAACTCACTGCCTACAGCAGCCTGCAGATTCACTGAGGCTTTGCTTGCACAAGTCTGCATCTGGGAAGAAACCTTGCACCTGGCACTCCAATAAAGCACAGCTAAAGCACATTTATTAAGGCTAACTTGTGTTATTAAAAAACGTAACTGCTCTTTTTTGGCTAAAGAAAGGTCTCCTATACCTCCGGAGCAATATAATCTGGCGTGCCACAAAAGGTTGCTGTGGTAATGCCATCGTGAATGCCCTCTTTGCACATCCCGAAGTCTGCCAGCTTGCAGTGACCCTCGTAGTCCAGCAGCACGTTATCCAGCTTCAAGTCCCTGCAAAGAAAATTATTCACAACATTACTACATGCTTGGATCAGCCCAAATGCAAATGGAGGCAGAGTCTTGGGCCTCTGAAGGTTAACAGGTAAACTGGATAAGCCTCATCATCATAAAAAAATAAACACAAGCCATGCAGGAGGAGTTTTCTTGTGCTTCATCTCTTAAAAAAGGGAGGGACAAGTATTATTCTGCTGAACTGCATTTAATATGGGCAGGTGCTCTGCGAGCTCGCCCACACGGCTTTCCAAACACACCACAAGCCTGACTGGCAGCGCTTCTGCTAATTTAGCTCTGGGACTCACTGGAGGAGAGGCTGCCCGAGCTGCCAAGTCGCGTAACGATGGCATGAGGCAGCAGAAGGCGCCGCGCGTGACGTGCTCTGATTCAGCAGAGCGCCGTGCTCAGAGGACAGCGGCAAAGACAAGGGGACAGGCGAGGCGCCTTCCTGAGGGTGAGCAGGTCCTGCCTTCAGCGGCTTGGGATTGTAAATCCCAGCGCTGCTGGTAGCAGAGCAACCTGAGTGATAACCCCCACCGGGAGTTTTATCCAGTCTGAGGACAAAAGAACCTCCCTGCTGGTATCACGCCGTAGGTACAGGCCAGCACGCGATGCTTCTGCTATAAGGCAAGCCCTAAAATCCCAGAGGTACCAATCCCAGCGGGACTGCAGTGACACAAGAGGCCAACTCCCTGCATTGCACTCACTGGCAGTGGGGGCCTCCCTGTGCAATGCCCACCCTCCAGGCCTGCAGCCAGCTACCATACTGTACATTTTCCAACACAACATCGTAACAGCCTGGAAACTCACGGTCAGAAGTGGAGCTGCCAAAATGACAGAGCCCTAACGAAGCTTATCAGCTTGCCTGACCTTGGGATGGCCTCACGGAATAGCCCGTGGTTACAAGTGCTGTCAGGAACATGACCAGATGGCACCAGGTCATCTGCAGACTTAGGCAATGCCTTCCTAAAAATACATCCCAGCTCTTAGCACCTCTGCTTCTCAGCTGTCAAACAAGTTCTAGGCACATTGAGCGACCGAGGAAAGCGACTACGACGACAGCTCTGTTCTCTGTAAATCAGTCACCTTTTCTTTTTTGTATAGATTTGCAGGAAAAATCTGCACCGGTGAAAGCTCCAAAGATATCTTGGTGGAGAAACATTCTGGAACATAGGCTGTGTTGCTTGCTGCATGTGCTGCTTTTGCCACCTCCTTTTATTTTATAGGAGCTGTGACCTGGAAATCCCTATCCTAGATATGGCTAACCCCGGTTTGTATCCTGGGCTAGAGCAGTGCTATGATCTCCATTTTACTGACACGCAGGACAGGCTTATAGCCCAAGACATAGTCACTTGGGGCCTTTCAAAGGCATCTGGATGCCCAGGTAGGAATCAAACAACTAGATACCTCTGAAGGTTTCATGTCCTTTATGAAACACATGCTGCAACTGGATGCGTTTTGCTCTCTCGTTGGACACCTCCTTCCCTGGGAAGGGGGAGCAGGGAGGAGGGTGGTAGTAAGGGTCGCATCTCCCCATTTACCTAGAAACTTGTGGGAGCGCTGAAGTCTGAATTCACCTAGATTCTTAAAGACCTGCTCATCCTCTTTCTATGATCTTGAAGTGAAAATCAGGTGGCTGACTCCTCTGTTCTGAATTAGCATTTCTACAGCCCACACCACCACAGGAAGCCTTAGTGGAGCCTCTGAAAGCTCACCCTCAACTTTGATATTACAGTGCAAAGATCAATGACAAACTGTACTAGACAACCAGGACCACATCCTGTCTTAAAGAGATAAGAAAAAGAGTATTATTAGCCTCCTTTTAATGGATGGGAAAGTGAAGGTTAAAAAGGCGAAGGTTGAGAAATTGAGTTGCCCACGTTCAACGGAGCCAAGACTGAATACCAACTTCCTGAGTTGGGTACCACAATCACAGGAGCAAATATCCTCTTCCTCCTTCAGCTTACAACATGGCACAGCAACACAGCCCTCTCAAAACCCCTCTGTGAGGCTGTCACCCTCCCCAGCTGGCCCCTTGGCTACGTGGCACCCAGGGGCCTAGGACAAGGCCGACGCCTGCGTGACGCCGCGCTGCTTGCGCTGGGCGGGATGCTCCGTTTTTCCACACACCTTTTTCTTCTTTCCTTCCTAACATTAAAAATGGCCACTAGGCTGCGTGGGCAGAGCTCGTCTCAGGCTGGGTTAGGCGAGCACAGTGAGCGCTACTGCACGCGCTTGCTCATGACAGCGAGTGCTCCACGGCGCTTTACAGGCCACGCTCTGGTTACTCTTCCCTGCGGTTCCTGGCAGAGCAGGGAAGCCCTCTGAGCATAAAGGCAGGCCTTGTTTCCAGGAATCTGCAATGAGGTGGTTGAAACGCATAGTTTATTCTTGGCTCAGACTTAAATGCAGCAAAAACACCTTTTCGGGGCTAGGCAGGCCTAACTTTTGGGGGTGCATCCGCGCACACGACTGGGAGGGGAATTCTGGTGAGCCTGCTTGGAGATCCCCCTTCCCCACTGCTCTCAGAAATATCCACCGTGTCCTGTTACGCTTTGGGAATATCCCTCCAATTACAGCCTCGCTATATTGCAGCTATATTGCAGAAACACAGTCACGTACGTGGACTGAGCAGGCGAATCCCTCACAGAGCCTGAGGGCTGGAGGCCAGGCCTGCTCTGCCCAATAAATTACCAGACATTCTCCCCTTCCCACCTTCTGCCCCCCTGGACATGCTGTGGAGAGCCCGGCAATCCCTCCTAGCTGCCTAATACCCCATGCTCTATCATCCCAGAGGGCCTCCATCCATGCAGCTGCCATTAAATTTCAGCTCTCTGCTGAAATTTTAAGTTTTAAGCACACGGGGCAAACTTCCAGCCCTTGGGCTTTGCTGCATCACATGTTAAACCCATCAGGACGACCCCGGTGTCTCCTCCAGCAGGCAGGAGATGGGCTTCTCTGGACGCTTTTCCAGATGCATGAAATCTAAAACTTGCATTTTCTGTTTTCACATAACCCATAGCCTGGCAGTAATCGGCTCTCACGGGCTCAGAGGCTCTGGCTACACGGGTATCACTTCAGAAGAGGACCTCTCCATCCTTCTTGCTTCACAAGCAGCAAGCACCCCAACAAAGGCCCCACGTCCCCACTGGAGGAACATGAGACCCACCAGCCAGCCAGTTTTCTGGGGAATTTTGCTCTGGTCTCACACGCGTTGCTCTTGAGCCATTCCGGCAGCCTCGAGCTCTGTGCCTGCTGCTTCACGTCGCAGGCCTCACCACGCGTCGATCCACACGCACCAGCGAAGCCACGTGACAGAAAAACACTGACAGGTTTCTAGGATTTACAAGGAGCTCTTCGTTTCAGCAGCGAGGATTCCGAGAAGCCGATGAAACTGGAAGCCCTCCAGCTCTCAAAGCCCAGATCTACCTCATTTCCTTAATACTTGCATTTTCCACTCCATATTTTTAGCAGCTCAATGAAGCAATAACGGGAGAGAGGTTTTCTGAGGGCTGCGTTTCTAAGGCCCCGCTCAAGTCCTGCCTCAAGCCTTTCCCCGGCAGACAGACCTCATCCCACCCCAGAAAGGCGGCCTTTGTGTGCACACCCCGCCGCCGCACACCGGTTTAGCGGCATCGTTTCAATTTGGATAAAAACAGACCCGGATAAAAACAACTAAATGAGCTGTTTAAGCCTTGCTCCCTGGAAGAGGAGTTTCCTTATACATCTGCTGCTTGAGTTTAATGACTGCAAAAAGAAAAGCAAAATTAAAATTGCAGATGATCCAGGCATTTCTGGAACATCTGTCCAATATGAGTTCCTCACACCATGGAAAGTTTGGCCAACAAAAAGGTGTTATAGAGTACTTGTCACTCACGCTGGTCAGATCACGTCACTTGTGACGCAGAGATTTTGTAGGAAAAGATGAGATTTCTTTTTCCGCTCCTGCTCTCCCCACCCTGGGCTTTATTCAGCAAGTCACCCTGCTGGGTGCGCACGTCGGAAGGACCTTGCAGGCAGCAGCGGGGGTGGCAGGGCTGGTTTCCAGCCTGAACTGCCTCAGTTTCTCCTTCTCATGGAGATCCAAAGGGCCACTTTAAAGCTTGCAGAAGTCTGGGGTTCCCATCTTTTGGCCAAAAACAGGCAGCCTTCGGGAACGCAGGCACAGGGCAGTGGAAGCTACTCGCAAGTTTAAGTGAAACTAGTGAAACGTTCCAGGCAAATGCTAAAACTTGGAATGGGCCAGATGATTAGATTGGGCATTTCTGAGTGGGAACATTTTCGCTTTTTCAATCTTCACTGTGCAAAGCCATTAGAAACCATGTGCATAAGCAAATTTGAGGTACAGTGCTCTCCCTTGAAATCCCTGTAGCCCCTGCAGGAACACGTTCATTCAAAAGCCCTTCTTCAAGCATAGACTAATTTTGATTTTTCTCCACCCGGTCTGCTGAAGTCATATGATTTTGTAAAAATACTGAAATCACCACCAAGGTGGAGAAAAATCCACTTTATGGGCCTGATAGCCAGAGCAATACAGTTTTCCAAGGGCAGCTCCATTGAAATTATAATTATTTTTTGCAAAATGAAATAACTTAGAACAGAAAGAAAGTCACACGCTCTGCAGAATAGCCCGGGAGTTAAGATACTTATCTGGGAGGGGGAAACTGCAAATTAGAGGCCCTGCTCTAACCAAAGTGAACAAGGCTTTAAACGAACACTTCAGATTAATAAGGAGGGGAGGTGAAAGAGGTCTCAGTTTTGTGAGATCCTCATGTGAAGATAACACTGCTTCCCATTTTCCTCTGCATTAATTAACAGCATCCAAACCAACCTTTTCCATTTTACTTGAAACCAGCAATTTGAGACTGAGTTGCAAAACAAAACAAAAACCATTGTTGCTTTAGAAAGAACCGTGACAACTAATTTAGGCCCACAGACATGGAAACGATGTTCTATTTTTCTTTCCACATTGAATTTTGGGGGTTCATCTGCCAAAC